TGGTAAGTTCCCTGACTCACTGCACTTTGGGACAGGGATCACTCGAATTCCAGTGACATGATTACGTTCAACGTCAACGGACAACATAGTGGAACGTTATCACTGGAATTAATATACAACAGGCAGGACCTTATTTTTATTCTCTTTAAACACATCATTCTGTTACATGTTCATACAACATTTCAGCCGAATATTCATTATAAATGATAATTAGATGTGTTCATTACCTGTCTAGCGATGTGTGTTTATGTTTAAATATACTAAAATACGGTCCGTCTTTTCAAATCTTCTATTGCGTGTCATATTTATCGCGTTGACTTGTGTGGTTTATGGTTCACGCTTCAGAAATGTCACTTTATTTCCGGTAAGGGAGCATAGTGAGCGCCGATGCTCCCTAGTTTTCGTGGTGCAATGTGGGATTTTTCAGGGAGCGAACGTTCCAGTGCACTGTAAGGATTTCTCGATTGAGACAGCCCTTAACATGGCCGACTCCCTCCATGATCAGTGCCCTTACTACTGAACAAGGGAGTTGATTGAGGTTGTTAAGGTGTTGTGAGTGGCTGATGGGGTTGCTGTGCAGTTGCTAGGGTGTTCTTGGTAGATGCTAGTGTTTGTAAGCAGGGTGTTCTGAGTAGTTGCTCAGGTTTCTGTGTGGTTGCTAGGGCTGCAATGTGGTTGCTAGGTTGTTCTGAGCGGTTGGTTGCTAGGTGGTTTCTTACTGAGTCAAGTGAAAGAAGATTATTTAATTAATTAATGTTAGTTATCAGAAAATGCTGTTAATGATTCTCTTTAAAAAGCATTTTAAAGCCATCAGCCCTGCTCACATCCGCCCACTAACTAGGTCAATGTGTTTTTCTTGCTAATAACAGTCAAAGCGATTAACTACTACAGCTACAGACATGAGAAACAGTCTGAGAAAAGAGGAGAATGGGCATCATAATGGACAATATATGGCTCTTCTTAAACGCCTAAACCCACACAGCTCTCATACATCTGGATAGCGAAGTGTTGTGAAGTTCAGAGATCAAAGCATCTGATTAAGAGTAAATTAGCTCTTGTGTCTGTTATGATTTAAACTAAGCCGATCCAACAAGAGAGAACACAAACAAACATTAAAACAATAATCAAATATCAAATATCTATTCTTATTAGAGCAGTGCAAGTAGTGCAAATTGACCCTTCGCAGGGAGTTTGATTGACAGGCGATCTGACCAATCATAATGCTGAATCTGCCCTTTTGTCCGACAAACAAATCAGAATAGATTAACATGGGTGGACTTGAAAAATGGTGTGTATTGACGTCTTTCTGCGGTTGAAATAAAATACATTCTGATGTTCATTCATATTTATTTCATACTTTAAGTAAATATGAAAAGACGATTGGTTCACATGCCGCTTGAACTGAGGTGCAACAGCGATCTGTCACGACACATTATTAGAGCCACAAAACAGTGAAAAAAAAAACATTTATCGTTTGAATTTCTTAAAAAATGACAAAATTGCAAAGCTGAAACCTTGTTTCATAACTAAAGTAACCTGCTCTATCTTGTCTGTCAGTTTCTTTCCTATTTGCTCCGCAGTCTTTTTTATTGTGAGAGAACATGATATGGCGTGAGAGCGGCATGGCTTGTCGGACATAGCAACAGTAACTAAAGGAGGGCGTTTTTTTTTCGAAGGGTCTGTTTAGAATGGAAGAGGACTGCATACTGCACGGTATACTACTGACTATTCTTTAAAAATATTTCACGTTATGTCGGCACCGATAGGCTTGTGGGCAGCGCACCGAAATGCAGTGCTGTTGCACTACGGGCGTCCCGAGTTCGAGTCCTGACCTGAGGACCTTTCCTGATCTCGCCCCCCTCTTTCTCTCCTACTTCACTTCCTGTCATGTCTGATCTGTCCTGTCATAATAAATGCCAAAAATAAATCTTAAAAAAAAAAATTGTTGGCATCAGATTGTAGTATGCTAAATTGTTGTCACATGAACATTGTGTTTAAGTCAATAAGTAGTGTCAAGATATCATAAGCATTAATATGATAACTATGGTTGTTCACTCAAAAAATGTATACTATTTTTTTTAAGTAAGTGGTTGCAAACAATTTATTTTAGTTACATTTATATAAAAAAAAATGTTGAAAGTAAGTCAACTAAATGTTTTTACTGAAATGTAGTTAAATAAATTGATTGCAACCACTTACCTTAAAAAAAATTAGTAAATTCAATTAATAATTTTTCTCCCAGTGTTCTTTATAATCCAGTTTGTATAAAAGAATCATTTTTGGAAGTATGAACAATAATAAATCAATGAGACTGATTGGTTCATTTAGATTGCATTGTGGGTTTTAGTGATATTCAGAGTTTAGAAAATAAACAAGGTCATCCAAGTTTTGCATGCATAAACATGTAATACATATGCACTGCATACTGCAAAAATAGTGTGTGATGGAATGCTATTCTAAACACATCTGATATCTTTAATAGTTTCTCACACACAAAGTTTCTCTGTCCATGAAACCTCCTGTGAAACAGTCTATTTTCTCACATTTGGTGTGGCACTGACTGATAAGATCGGGACACGAGATGAACTACAGTTGGATATGTGTTCTCTTTCTGTTAGTTTTAATCTTTTATTTCTCTTTATCTCTCTGCCTGTCAACATTTTTCCTTTCACTCTGTGAGTCTGCCTGTGTGCCTACAGGGTTTGAATTGCGCTACCAGATTTTACTACCAGATGGATGGCACTCCAGATATAAATGTACTTCAAAAAGTGAGAAAGACATTTTTGAAACTGTCCTTGCACATATTGCCATTTTAAAGGCAAGATATCTCTGTTTTTACACATATTTGTGTGTGCAACCACATTAGCAAACTTGCTTCAGCATTTTAAATCTTGATTTTTTTTTTGTTGGAAAATCTTGATGTTTAGTCTGATCCGATATCCAGTAATCTGCTTGAATCTAAACGGTTCCTTATGTAATGTAAGCACATCAAAATCTTATTTTCAGGCGGAAGCACTACATGAATGCAGAGAACTGAGACAAACCACAAACAAAAACACTAGTCATGATTTCATGGTTGTTGTTTTTTTTGGCATCATAATAGCTACCATGTTTATTTGAGCACAAACCATAGCAGTGCATTATTTTTTGGACGTATCATGCATGGCAGTACCCTCATAATCCTTGAAGTGTCTTTGAGTAGCCTACATCATGTCCTGTAGCCTACACGGTTTTGCACAGTATGGGGAAAAGTAATGAGAAAGAAAGAGCGATTTCTATCTCTATAAGTCTGAACAATGCAAAGTATGTGAGTGGGAGGATGTTTATGTGTGCTCATCTCCATCTAACCGTTTGGGTGTGTGTGTGTGTGTGTGTGAGTGAGTGAGTGAGTGAATGTTGCTCTATATGAGAGAGATTCAGCGGCTGTGTCAGGCTGTGTGGGTGTCTGTGTGTGGGATGCTCTCTCCGTCAAAGCTAATGTGAAGTGTTCAGAGAGCTCAAGAGAAGCGCATACAGCTTTTAATAAACATAGCTAGCCATATAAATGTCCACTCCCCCATAAACGCCACATTTAAAGCTCTTCTATTCTATTTCAATAGCACCACCCGAATGGCAATTATGTCATTAAGCATCTTGTTTGATCTAAAAACGTCTACGTAAACGTAGTCACGATCTAAAAATCCGGCCACCCGTCTATTTCACCCTTCCAACTCGATTTTCTGCTTTCATCTTTATCTCTGCGTATCTGCGAGAGTTGCAGAAATCGACAAAGGCACGGGGATGTTTCAGCAAATTAATTCGGCTGTTTAATTAGACTGTTTTTGATGAAGCGCTGAGGAGGAGTCTGCAGCTGGTATCTGTCACAGTTACCAGTTACACACACCCTCACTCCCTCCATTACATTCACTCGTTTTCTCTCACCCACAATCCTTCTCATTCGCTCACTCGCTGGAATCCGAGACTTATAACGAGCATTCTGCCTCCAAAGCTAGTTCCTGTGCATTAAGTATTTTAGCATGCTTATATTCTGCTGTTGAAATCACTGTAACAATGAAAGGAACTATTTTAGGTAGGCTACATTTTTGGAATGAACTTAAAATGTACGTTTCACGACTTAAACTGTGCCATTATTATTGCCTATTTAGAAGAAAATGACTTCTTTAGTAGCATTACCTTTAAAAGGGTATTTTAATTTTCAACTCAGTTTAGTTTTGAGAAAGGGGAGCAATCTAGCATGTCCTACAGCACGGAGACATCTAGTTGACGTCTGCATTTACATCTGCAAAACGTATTATTTTGTGTTTTCTCATCTGCAATATGTCTAGGACATTTCCTATTAGATGTCAAATAAACGTCTATTAGATGTCTTTAAGATGTTTATGATTTAGAATGTATGTAAAACTGACATCTAACAGACGTCTGTCAGATGTTTGTACACAGCAGATGCTTTCTAGATCAAGTGATCTTTACAGACATTTTGTGACTCATTTTGTGTTTATAACGCAAAAATACACTCATATTGCAGCCTAACCTACTAAAGCGAAAACGAATGAAACGCTTTGCGGAAAGGCTTTTTAATTAATCTTTTTGATATTAATCAAAACAAAAGTATAGCCTACAGAGGCAAAAAAACTAAAAGTGGCATGCAGTTGTCATGGTGATGACACTAGAGTTGAATATAGTTGTGGAAAGAACTACAAGGCTGTAATTTGTCTAACCTTCCCACAGCCCGTTATTCCACCCGAGATCACGTTTATGTTGTTATACACCCATTTAAATATAATTGGTGATGATAACTGTTATGTTTGTAATGCTAATCCTGTAATAATTAAGTCAGTCAACAAAACAAAGGATTTTATTTTATTCAGCTATTCTAAATGTACACTTAATACGCAAACATTTTTTCATTCATTTGTCGTAGCATAAAAATGTTTCTTTGTTACATTATATTGCAAAACCTTAAAAAAAAAAAAAACAGATTTTTGTGTTCAAAGTTCAAAGTGTTTCTTTATACCTTGACAACATCTTGATGAAATAGCTCACGGAAACATATTTAACGATACAATACAATCCAATGCAACAACCCCCACACAGACAAATAATATGAGAATAAAAACTCAGTGTTTGCAGCAGGTGCAGATGGATATGGAAAGCCAGTAGATCATTAAAGGATTTGAATAAAGCACATGGTGATGTAGGGAATCATGGGAGATTTATATAATTTCAATGAGTCATACAGTGAATCACTGCAAAGAGAGTGAAATAGGAGTGAAAAAAGGGATGAAATGGAAGGAGATAAGAAGGGCCAGGATGTTCAAGGAGACAGAGCGGATGAGGGAAGAGGTTGGCAGCTCGCTTTTTAAAGATCTAGTTTGAGAAATCTGTTTTGTGCAAACAATTAAGAGATGTTTAACTTGATTATAAATACGTGTTATTGCAGAATGCATGCTCATATCCTGTAAATTAAAACCACAAAAAGCCCATAAAGAAGTATTTATCTTAGCATGACAGTCCTTTAACACTGTCAATATGCTAAATACTACATAATATCATAGTAAACTGGTGTTAATTCTAGAGGTTAAATGCCCTGCCCATTGGTTGTTGTGTTGATTGGATGAAGGCAGACTGGATATTTAATTGAAACATATTCATGGATGAATTGTTCATAAGATCAATAACATGCATTTAGAAATAGGTGAATGTTCATGGCAACTTTCACAAAATTAACGTTAAATTAAATAAAAAATTAAATTAAGTTTTTAAAACGAACTGCTGTCTCTTAAGAGTAAACCAAAGCAAAATATTGATGACTCATCATGAACTACACTGATTTTTGTCCAATCAAATGCTCTCTAGAGTGAATATGCCCCTCCCACTAATACTACCTGCCACCAATTAGCAAGTAGCAAACCTTGGTTTGTGATTGTGAAGAAACTTAAGTGTAACCATCTGTTTCAAAAGTAAAAATGCATAACCCAAACCTCGTGTTTAAAAAAAATGGACCCAAACGCAATGTATCTTTAAAATTTTTAGTGACATTAGATCAGGAATATAGCTGAAATGCAGATGCAAAACACTTCTGAAAGTGTCTTGACATGGGTGTTGCACATTAAAGACAGTCAAAAAAAGTATAATATTATTTTTCATATAACACTGGGGTTATTAAAAGTCCACCAGAACCAGAAATAATAGCTATATTTTGATGTACATACTGATAGAACATTTCTGTTTCTGAAAGCATAATCAGCTGTCTGTGTCTGACAGAAAGAAGTTCTAATCTCTCACCTTGTTCAGTCAAGCATGCCAGTCCAGAACTCCCCAGGTTTTGTTAGACATAAATAACACAAAAAGACCAAAAAACGAAAAGTGCAGCTTCAAACATAAATACATTTACTCTGTGTTCGAGCTCAAATTGTCTGTAGTTTAACTAACAGACAGATCTCTGTGGTGGTTGCGGCTCATCAATGGTTGACCATAGTGCTGGAATCAGAGGGATGATGGTGTGAAGGTCATCCTCTTCAGTCCAAGGACCACCAATACTGCTGCCATAGATTGCTGCCACCTTCTCTCAGGGTTTGAAACATGCAGAACAGGTCATTTCTTTATTAGAGTGGAGCTGAGGAGAGATGGTATCTGGAACCACTGATTTCAAGATATCATTCTCACTGGCAATTATGTGTTTCACAAGGAAGTTGGCAGCTTCATTAATGTTGATGTTTTCCTAAAATTTAGAGAAAGAACATACATTAAACATTTTTAAGACAACCAGGTTTTAGATAGTTTGATTTGATCATTTGAAAATGGGACTGTGAACAGTAATGACATTAAAACCCATGAAAATGCTACTAGATGGAACTCTGATTGGACTCTTCATTAAGGATGAATGGATAGAGGTGCTGAAATAAATGAAATAAATAAATCAATCCCTTTGAAACCTCTCCACTGGATTTAATGAGACCGTCCCAATGTACCAACAGTCCATTCTCCCGTTTCCCTCAGCAACTGCTCTGCATGTGAGTGGCAGGTCTAATTAGTATGCAAATATTAATAACTTTCATTCAGAAGCTTTAATCAAGCACTAAAGGCTCTGACAATACAAGTTCTGTCAAAAGATATTTGTTAGACCGCTGTCAGTGGGATAGAAAAGCTATTTTTGTACATATAGGTGGTCCTTGCTAGTGGTGGCTACCATGTTGAGATCACATGACAAACAAAATAATCTTGTAACTCTCCCAACACTTTTAGCTGCGGAACAAATTTATTACATTTGTTAAAGATAGATAGACAATCGGTATCAGTATAAAATCAGTCGTCAGTATAATATCTCAGTCAGTAGGCCTATAAGATCTCTGTTGAATCAGTCAGTGAAAAAAACTTCCAAAGTTGTCAGTAAAAGATGGTAATCCATGACATTTACTATAAATGATTGCTCTATATACCAGGGAATTTACATGCCACTCCAAGGAATACAATAGTGCAGATAAAAAACACAAACAAAACACAGTATTACCTTGATACCATGTATTTTTTATTAGTTTAATGCCCATGGTACATTAATGCACTAATTAGTGAATATACTACAATGTCATATCCAATTACCATGGTATTAGCTGGTATCTGAAACCATCACTATACCATGGTACTATAGGTTTTTTTTGTAGACAGACACAAATATTCTCTGTCATTACTGTTGCTCCGTCTAAAATCATACCGAAATGTTATGCCTTACCTTAGCAGATGTCTCAAACCAGCCCACAAATCCATTCTCCTTGCAGTACTGGTCCATCTTCAGGCTGTTGTTAGTCAGAAAGTCTCTATTTTGGTCGCACTTATTGGCCAGGAGCACTGTGGCGATACTCTGGCCATTTGAAAGTATTAATTTTGAGTCCAGATCCTCCTTCCATTTGGAGACAGCCTCAAACGTGGTGGGTCTGGAAACATCAAAAACAATGAACGCCCCCATGGCCTCTCGGTAATAAACCCGTGTCATGTTCCCGAACCGCTCCTGACCTTCCAGTGCAGATGGAGAGGGAGAAAAAAGGTATAAAACAACTGGGAAAAGCATGACACAACAAGCCAAATGCCACGTCCATTCAAAGGTTAGAGGTTGGATTTTTTTTTCAGAGTTCTTGAAAGAAGTTTCATTTGCTCACCAAAGCTGAATTTGTTTGGTGGAAAACACAATAAATTTAATGTGTTCTTACTAAATTAAAATTTTAAAGGGGTCATATGATGCGATTTCAAGTTTTTTTTTCTCTTTGGAGTGTTACAAGCTGTTTGTGAATAAATAAGATCCCTAAAGTTGCAAAGACTAAAGTCTCAAACCCAAATAGATATTCTTTATAAAAGTTAAGACTGGTCCACGCCCTCCTAAAACACCTCGTTTAAACACGCCCCCACATGTCTACGTCACGATGTGGGAAGATTTGCATGACACCGCCCAAATGTTCACACAAAGAAATAAGGCGTAACTTTATTGTTGCTGCCACCGCCATGTTGTGAAGAGCTGTGTGTTTCGTTGGGAAAGCGAAAATACTTTGTTTGGCCTTCCAAAAGAGGACACGATTAGAAATCAGTGGTTAAGTTGTATTTTCCAGAACAGTTCAACCCAAATATTCAGATGTGTGCAGCGCAATTTATGGAGGACTGTTGCCTTGGAGAGTAGCCTACAATGCCGTGTTCTGACAATTAATACTGACTCACAGCTTGTAAGTACGTTTTCATATTTAAAGGATTTGCCACTGATGATTCAAACGCAAATTTTGAGCAGTGTAGAGTAGCGCTTGTTGTTTGTCATTTCTCCGATCACAAATGCAGACATGGTTTTATGTTTACACGGCGTGATGCAACGCAACGCGTAAAAAGACAGTATAAAGCCCCGTTCACACCAAGAACGATAACTATAAAGATAACGATATTAGCGTCCACAGCAGCGAACGATATCGTCTGTTTATTCTAAGCGCACGATCGTCTGCCGCTTTAAATTCTCGAGGTCGTTACAGCAGGATGGATTCTGATTGACTGTCAATTTTTTATCGTTCATCAGCTGGAGAAAAATTATTTTGAAAGTGATTTCAATGATATCGTTTCTCTTTGTCTTTATCGTTATAGTTATGATTTTTAGAACTAAATCTTTATTGTTATCTTTATAGTTATTGTCCTTGGTGTGAATGGGCCTTAAGTCATTATAATCAGTAATTATGTCCCCACTGGATGCAACAAATGCCTCGTTTATAATGGGTTTGAATGTTTTTGTCTCGTCGCTCTGGGACACGGCATCACAGTATGGTAAGGGGCGTAACATTTCCGTCACAAGCTTGAGGTATACGGGCAATCACAATGCACTGGATTGCTGGCCAATCAGAGCACACCTCGCTTTTCAGACCGATGAGCTTTGTAAAAATCAATGCGTTTCAGAAAGGCGGGACATAGAGGAGAAACAATAATGTACAGTATGTGGAAAATAATGTGTTATTTGAACCTTAAACCGCATAAACACATTTCATTACACCAAATACACAAAATAATGTTCTTTTTAGCAACATCATATGACTCCTTTAATTTCTTGAGAAAGAAAAAAAAGCTTCCCTAAACTTTTGAATGCCAGTGTATGTTGAATGCATAAATTGCTTATACATAGTAAGATATTTTAAGTAACAGCTCAAGGTCTCAAATTCTATGAAAGAGCCTGTGCCAGGCATGATTACATTTAGTATAATGAATCTACTGGTGAAGAACACATGACTCTTTTTTGTGTGCATGCACTTTCCTGCAGTGCGCATCGTTCTGACCAGTATCCACAGCAAAGTTTCCTGTTGTTCTTATTCAATCGAATATACTCGTTACGACTGACTTTTCCAGCTAATGGCACATTCCATCTGTGCGCCTTTCTCTTGTCTGACTCTGAATGCAGCCACTCATCTGGGCTGCCAGCATTATACAACATTCCCTAGGACAGCTGTTTCTCACAGTTTGTTCTGTTATTTGTTCAAAATTAGAATCAGGAGGTGCATGTTGATCTCCGTGGGTCTGACAGCAGTCTGCTTCGCACTTGATGGACCACGAAACAAGAAATGCTGTATTGGTTTTGTTAATCCATATGGCCTTTTGAGATACTGGCACAGGTGTTGTACAATGAAATATGAACAATGAATTATAATGTAAATCATCAGTCTAGTCTAAATATATATCTTGCCTTTGCTTAATATGTTTATGAACAAAATGCAATTTTCAGGTTTGAATAAGAGTTTTTGCTGCTATCGTTGACTGAAATTTGATGAAGCAGTGGGGAATGCCCTTTACAGAAAGTGTTACAGTCACCTAACTTGACAACTTGGCAAAATGTGCCTGCTTTTGATGAAAACTATCACTAACAGGGAAAATGAACTCAGCATGTTTCACTTCATGAAACTGTATGTCAGATGACTTCCTGGGCAGCAATGAGGAGTTTATGATGCCCACTAGGAGTTTATGACTATGTAAGAATGTCTACCGAGTCATGTCAGGATGAGAGTTTAATAAAAAGCCAGTCCTAACGAGGACAGTATAGTAATAATAAAGAACAAACCCTTCAGTTCCTTAGTCCGGTTTAGAATATGAGTGGTTTAATGACTTACTACTGTATAACTGCATTAGGCATCATTCCTCAAAAAATGGTTTGTTTTTGCTAAGTATGCTATTTCATTTATTAAAATTTGCTAAACACTAAAGTACCATTGTTACCACAGTTAGTTACTACAACTAGAGTGTTGCAAACACAATGGCAGAAAGATTTAGCTTCATATACAGCTTGAAGGTGTTTATTATGGTTCGTTCCACAGTAGTAAGCATAGCCTAGAGCCATGTTATTTTGGTGGAAATGAGTTTACCATGGTATATAGGCCTACTTGCGTTTATATATTAAATAAATAGGTAAACATTTTTAAGAACCACATTGGTTTTCCATGTAGCTTATATTTCTCATATGCCTTTTTGTTTTTGGATTGTGCTGTTGTTTCGAGCAGGTGTGCTGTTTTAAAGTGAAATTTACCGTAGCTGAGGACTGAGAACAGTAAGTGCTGGAAATACACTTGCCCGTGGTTTGTTTACAGAGATTTTCCCATAGTTTCATCCGCGTGCTTCGTCTCTCAATCTCGCTCACATGAGAGACCTTTCCGAGCGGGCACGCGAAAAACCAGTTCTCAGCGGCGCGTGCCTGACACGTGAGGAGGACGATAACAGGAACGAGCAACGGTTCTGGTTTGGGAACAGATTTTGTCGCAGAACAAGATCAACTAACATTAAACTTAACAACGTTAAGTCGTAATGGACTAATTTGATATTGGCAAAGAGCTGCTCTTTAAAGTTTCACGGATCTCCACCTTACAAAACCAACCCTTACGAAAATTAACCATGCTTTTACTATAGTAAAAGTGTAGTAACCATGTTTTGGCGAATGATTAACATTTTTATAACCACAGTTTTACTACGAATACCATGGTTAGTGTAGCAAAACCATGGTTACCCTGTTTTTTGGTTTTATTTGTAGTAATCTATGGTTAATTTTCCCTCTAGAAGGGAAATAGCTAATAATTTATCAACGTTACAAAATCCTAATGCTGTATTTTAAAGTTCCTAACTGACAGTCAATAAATAATGTCAGCAAAAGCTTAAAGTTTTTGTTAAAATCTAAACTAACGGGACAGTCACGCAGGGAATTTATGCTTACAATATTAACAATATGTTAACAATATTTGACCTTAAACCTTATAAATTATGCCTTATTAAATAATATTATAAAAAAAAACTTTAAGGTAAGTCAAATTTAAAATGTAGTGATAAACCAATGCAATTCAATTACATTTCTTTTAAAATAGGCCTTCACATTTTTAACCTGTATGGTAAGCTTACAGCCTATTCCATTAAAATGACCAATATTTTTACAGTGTACGTTTTAAGTGTAAGGCTTTGACACACTGCTATAGCCTACTTTCGCTTACCTGCGATGTCCCACAGCTGCAGGCGGACCGTCTCTGAGTCCCAGTTGAGAACTTTGAGCGCAAAATCCACCCCGATGGTCGCTCTGTAGTTAGTGGAGTACGTCTGATGCACATACCGTTTGATGATGCTGGTCTTCCCTACTCCCAAATCACCGATGACAAGGATTTTGTACAAATGCTCTTTCCGATTGCTATGCATCGCTGAGGACATTTGTGTGTCCAGTGTTTATCACACTAACTAGTCATCTGTCATTGAACTTAAACTGGCACCGCCCAGGGCGTGGGGAAACTTGTGACCAGCTGTCAGACAAACTCTGTTTGCTCATGTGCACTAAATATACTGCCATTCAGAGTCTATCTATCTATCTATCTGTCTGTCTGTCTGACATTCTATCTATCTGTCTGACATTCTATCTATCTGTCTGACATTTTATCTATTTATCTGTCTGTCTGACATTCTATCTATCTATCTGTCTGACATTCTATCTATCTGACATTCTATCTATTTATCTGTCTGTCTGACATTCGATCTATCTATCTATCTATCTGTCTGACATTCTATCTATCTGTCATTCTATCTATTTATCTGTCTGTCTGACATTCGATCTATCTATCTATCTATCTGTCTGACATTCTATCTATCTGTCATTCTATCTATTTATCTGTCTGTCTGACATTCGATCTATCTATCTATCTATCTGTCTGACATTCTATCTATCTGTCATTCTATCTATTTATCTGTCTGTCTGACATTCGATCTATCTATCTATCTATCTGTCTGACATTCTATCTATCTGTCATTCTATCTATTTATCTGTCTGTCTGACATTCGATCTATCTATCTATCTATCTGTCTGACATTCTATCTATCTGTCATTCTATCTATTTATCTGTCTGTCTGACATTCGATCTATCTATCTATCTATCTGTCTGACATTCTATCTATCTGTCATTCTATCTATTTATCTGTCTGTCTGACATTCGATCTATCTATCTATCTATCTGTCTGACATTCTATCTATCTGTCATTCTATCTATTTATCTGTCTGTCTGACATTCGATCTATCTATCTATCTATCTGTCTGACATTCTATCTATCTGTCATTCTATCTATTTATCTGTCTGTCTGACATTCGATCTATCTATCTATCTATCTGTCTGACATTCTATCTATCTGTCATTCTATCTATTTATCTGTCTGTCTGACATTCGATCTATCTATCTATCTATCTGTCTGACATTCTATCTATCTGTCATTCTATCTATTTATCTGTCTGTCTGACATTCGATCTATCTATCTATCTATCTGTCTGACATTCTATCTATCTGTCATTCTATCTATTTATCTGTCTGTCTGACATTCGATCTATCTATCTATCTATCTGTCTGACATTCTATCTATCTGTCATTCTATCTATTTATCTGTCTGTCTGACATTCGATCTATCTATCTATCTATCTGTCTGACATTCTATCTATCTGTCATTCTATCTATTTATCTGTCTGTCTGACATTCGATCTATCTATCTATCTATCTGTCTGACATTCTATCTATCTGTCATTCTATCTATTTATCTGTCTGTCTGACATTCGATCTATCTATCTATCTATCTGTCTGACATTCTATCTATCTGTCATTCTATCTATTTATCTGTCTGTCTGACATTCGATCTATCTATCTATCTATCTGTCTGACATTCTATCTATCTGTCATTCTATCTATTTATCTGTCTGTCTGACATTCGATCTATCTATCTATCTATCTGTCTGTCTGTCTGACATTCTATCTATCTATCTATCTATCCGTCCGTCCGTCCGTCCTTCTGCCATGTGCACATACTCTAACATAAAGAGAGAGAGAAGTACATAAAGGAAGAGACTAAAGAGGGGGTGGAACTGCATTCCATCATCATCATCATGGAAACTGTGAAAATAACACAACCACACAAACTCCAGTCATGGTGCATAGCATCTCCAAAGACTTCATTTTGTGATTATACTGTATGTATCCACATTGAAAAAAAAAAAAATATATATATATATATAATGATTAAAGAAAAAAACATTTGTAATTGAGTCCCCTTTAATAACACTCAGGTAAAACCAATATTTTTACACGCATCGAAGAGAATTAAAAAAGGCTTATCCACACCATAACTGAAACCTCGAAGTAACAGAAATATTGCAAGCTACATTCGTCCCACTGTCACAAAGCTTAATCTACTGTGACCATCATATTGAATCAGCACAAATAGTTAGTAGAAAAATACATCACACACACACAAGGCTGAAACCTACACTCTATGAATGTCTTGTCAGAAAAGGCAGAGAGCGAAAAATGCAAAAGACTTACAAAATGTACAAAAGTTCTCAAAAGAACATTAAGCACTTATTTCAGCTAATGGCACTGCTTTGCATGCAAACATGTGACCTTAGTACATTACACCTATTCAAGAAGAATATTGCACATTGATTTAATTTAAATTTTTATGAAGAAAGTTCATAAAGTTCATACAAAAATCATATCTTTAATTGGAGACTTTCATGTGGTTTATAGGCTTTGTCAATGAAAACTGTAATGCCCTGTGTGTAAGAATCATGTCCACAGTGTAATAAGAATGGGAATTTAGTTTTTGGCTCATCTACTGTATGTATGGATTTGGAACAAAAGCCTGAGTGGATTAAGAAAGGAAATAATTTGCAAATGGAATTATTATATTTTTGGAATAGGCCCTGCATTCACATATATTGCTTTATGTATAAATAATCTGTTAACTTACATAACTATTCAAATGTTTGGGGTCAGTAATTTTTTTTACATTTTTAAAAAAATGTTTTAGAAAGAAGTCCCTTATGCTCACCAAGGCTGCATTTATTTGATAAAAATACATTAAAACAGAAACACTGAAATATTATTACTGAATAAAAGTGCTAATTTCTTTCAAAAAATCTTGCTCACCCCAAACATTTAAGTGGTAGTGTAAATAGTTGAGTTTTCTTGAATCTCCCATTAGTTTGTATCATTTTCTCAAATCCCATCTTTCAAATTAAAGTTAAAGATTTATTATTAAATACCTCAAGTAATACTGGGACATGTTCATATAAATAAATCCAGTCATCTGAAAGACATATTATCTATATTAAAGTGTTAGATTGGTTCAATATCTAAATAAACCTGCCCTTACAACCCCTTCTATTTGATTTATTATGAAAAATATAATCATAAATATTATTTTATATGAAGTTATATGAAGTGGCAGAACATGCAACCTCTAAACTAGGAAATAACAAAAATGACCAATATTTAAACAAACTACTTTGAGCTCAAAGGCTTCATTTGGTCCTACATTCAACCGTTTGCGCTTCCGTTGTACGTGAAGAACCGTGCAAGACGTTCAGGCATCTTGCTGACAGGCAAAAAGAGAGATAAAAAAGACCGCCTGGAGCAGGAGTTTTGTCATTTTTCCCACCTGTGTAGATTGACGTCGTTGGAATGTTATTAAGTAGCTGTAAAGCCATGAAAACTTGCAGTACACAAACTGACCAACATCAGTAACTTCTTGCCAAGAAGGACCATAAACTTGTCAGAGCGCTCTAGTGCACAAGAGCATATCAAGTACATCCTTAATTATCTGAAAAGCAGTTTGGTGAAGTGCCTTCCCCTTCGCAGATTGTGATTTTGAGGACGGGCTGGATTCTAAGCACCATAAAACGTCCTCGGCGAGTGCTTCTATATTAAGAGTTTACACTCCTTGACATTTACAGCTGGGTTTTACAATCTAAGCAGATGCAGGATCTCAGTAGCTGCCTCTCAGTCTCCTTCCTGCGCTCCGAATAATCTCTCAGAGCGAAGAGGAGCTCTGGCTGTAGTGGCGAAGCATCAGCTGGTCGTATATCGGGGAGCAGGGCTCACACAATGGCAGCTCCGAGGCTGGCGATGTGGGAGATTCGCTGATCGAGTCCACGGAGGAGTCTCTAAACGGTGAAGGTGGTGTCAAGACGCCCAGGTCCTCAAAATCAGTGGTCCTAACCACACACGAAGAGTCGTAGGTGCTGTCAAAAAGGCTGGCAGGTGAAGCCCGGCTACTCCCACCGGCGATGATGCCCCCAGCGATGCCGACCGCGGAGCGAGGGTTGGTGTTCGCTGTGGCCACCACGTCTGCGTAGGTGGTGACGGTGGTTGGATGCGGCCTTTCTTGCGGGTGGAGATGGAAAGTAGGGGAGCAGGGTCTGGGGACCGGGGCGGTGGCGGCGTTTACGCCTGTTCCCGGCGGTGAACCGGGCAGCATCATGCTGTTGAGCTCACTGATGTTGGCCGTGAATCGACTGACTACACAGCTGATCTGATCCATGATGCACGTCTGGGACGGGGCGCCATGCTGCAGGCGCTCCGTCAGGTATGAGGGTATGGCCACCACTGCTGCACGCTCTACATCTCGCTCTTCCATTTCCCGCCTCTGCATCGAAGGCCGCTGACAAACGGTCGGCAGCGGGGAAGGGGTCAGGGGGCAGTAGGTTACAGGGTAGCGCTGGTTTTTCTGAGACCCATCGTATGCCAGCTTCACCCCGGGGTCTGGAGGCCGATCACAGCCCTTTGAGAAGGGCTTGATAATGGCCGTCTGGTTGGCCTCTTCTTTTTTCTTAATGTGGATTGAGATCCGCTTCCACAGGTTTGGCCTGTAACTTCTCTCGTTCTGTGCCCAGGTCACTGTTTTGCCGTTGGAGCTGTTGAAAGAAAACAGCAATGTGCATTTGATTAATTATTCATAAATACACGTTTAAACTCCATAAACATGTCTATTTTTCCAAATGTACAAATTATTGATAAATGTTAAAAATGTTTATATAAAAAAGTTATATAAAATTTATATTTTTATTAGTATTTTAATATTTAGTATTTTATAAAATATTCTATATACTATACTATATATTTATTTATTGACACACACACGCACTCAGATATATAATACTAAAACAACTTGACAGTTAATCAGTATTTTTATTTGTATTATAGGACTTTATATATATAACTAACATGTAATTTTTGTTAAAATGCTACAAAAATGTAACATAATTAACAGAGAAATGTATTTCTATATTAAAATATTATATATTTATTGATTGACTTTAACATTTACCAAAAATGTATATATTTTTATATTAATTGTTAATTATGCTAAGTAACTTTATATATTTATATATATATATATATATATATATATATAAAAACAAATTAGTTAACAATCACCAACATGTCAATGAAAAATAAATTGAGAAACTGAGCTGATATGGCTACTAATAATAATCCCTAAAAGATATAGGAGATAAAGTGGAAAAAATAAGAGCAAATTGTTCATTGATTGCAAAACACCATTTAGATACCCACATAACAACACAGTGTTTTATGTAACAATAAGAATGAATAGAGGGTTTTGTGCCTCCGTGTGATGATAATAAGTTACTTGATTGTCATGGAAATTATGTTAAAGGACATGCTAGGATATATCCATTGAAAAACTATCTGCCTTTAAAACACCGACATTTAGACTACATTTATGGACTTTAGTATGGATTTATTCAGGCCACAGAATCACCTTTTTTAAAACAGGGAGGAGAGACCGTCCTCACAATGCTGCTACACTCTTGCTAATGTGTAATACTACAGCTTAAAGGCAAGAGAGAATAGATCCTGCTATTAGTCATTCCAATCCATCCATTCCAAGCACAATTAGCACCCTCAAGTCAGACAGGAAATCTCTAACTTCACTTCTCCTAATGCACCTGGGGACTCATCGACCCAAATGTGCGTAACTCCGGAGTTGCTCCAGCCAGGAATGATTCACAGGCATACAGGGTAATTGGTTGGGGCTCTTTTTTCTCTTTTGAGGGGAATACTGGCGTTTTTTTATGTGCTCTAAAATATACTCAGTTGGGGAGTTGATTCATTTTCAGTCTAAACTCATTTTCATCCTCAAAAGCAAACCTTTGGCAGGCATTACTGAGATAAACCGATTTAATGTGAGCTTTATTTATTTATATATTTATTTTTCAGAAGCGGCTTCTGCAACTGAGAGCAGTGACTGCACATCATCTTCTTATAAAGAAGTAAAAATAAGGATTTTCAAAACTGACATGAAAAAGAATTGACATGTCATGCCTCATTATCCTTAAATTCATTCAGTGTGAATCCAATTAAACCACAGATTTTAAAAGAACAATACAGAAAAAGTAAGAAAAATTCCCAACCTTAGAGAGCTGAATTCTGAAATTATGACCAAACATTTATTGTACAGGGTTATCATTGACTAAAACTTTGAAAAAAGCTGAAAAAAATTAATGTGAAAATATTATAACTATTATAATATTAATAAACAAATATTAAATAAAATGTTATATATTTATATTATATATTATACATAATAAAATATTAATAAATAAATAATAATAAAAAATATTAGATGAAATAAACTAACTAAAATACAAATGAATTACCCCTTAATAGTAATATTAAAAAAGAAAAACAAATTAAATTGACAAATGTACATAACAAACTAACTGAAAACGATAATTACAATTAAAACTGAAAATATAAAAAAACTATATTAAACTGTAATAGTATATAAAAATACTAAAATATAAATAAATTAAAATAACACTGGCCTCATACTGACCTGACAGTGTCTGTGCCAGAGCCTCGTCGTCTGAACAGGTTAGCCAAGCTGCTAGACCGGCTAGCGGCCGAGGCAGCTTTCCCATCGCCCACGTGCATCCTCACAACCGTCGACGTGGTGAAAGCACTGCGTACGTTCCTCTCAGGTTTGGCCAACATGATGTAGACTTTGGGCACAAACATGCAGCACAGCGCAGTGGTAGCGCTGAGGCTAACGGAGAAACACATGGTGATTATCTTGTAGTTTGACCCGAAATAAATTGGCACGAAAGCCAGCCAGATAATACAGGTGGTGTACATGGTGAACGCGATGTATTTGGCCTCGTTGAAATTGGCGGGGACGTTGCGGGTCTTAAAGGCGTAGAAGGTGCAGCTGAGGATGAGCAGCCCATTGTAGCCCAACGGCGCCACCACTCCGAGCGTGGTGGTGTTGCAGATGAGGTGCACCTCGCGTATGGACGGATAGTCGTAGATCACTTGCGGAGGTTCCATGATGAAGAGCGCCACGATGATGCCCAGCTGAATCAGGATCAGGATGAAGGCGATGACCAGCTGGGCGCAGGCGCTCATGAAACGCGGTTTCTTGGTGCAGATCTTCTTCTTGCTGCCTGCAAGGATGCGAGCGATGCGGTTGGTCTTGGTGACTAGGGCTGAGTAGCTCATGGCTGGCGAGAGCCCGATTCCCAACCTCTGCAAGTAACAGTAGGCCACATGTGGTTTGGCGATGAGGCAGAACGTACACAGGTACCCCAAACAGATGCCAGCCAGGATGATGAAGCACAGCTCCCTGCTGGAGGACTTCACCACTGGTGTATCGTGGAACCTGATGAAGACTAAAGTGACGAAGATGGTGGCGAGCAGGCCAAGGCAGGCGAAGACCACGGCGGCGATTGGCTCAGGATCTCCCCACAGAAGGTACTGCACCGGGATTGGCTCACAGCCTGAGGGACATGAATTTGAGACGTTAATGTAATTAGTAGGGCTGATTTAACATGTTAACTGGAAAAAAAATGCATTAAAAGTACTTTGGAAATGAAATAGGTTACAGATTACAAGCTACCCTATTTAAAATGTAATAAGTAGTGTAACTATTTCAATTACTTTATTAAAGTAACTAATTAAATTTGATTACTTTTCTAAATTTCTCACAAATGTTTTTAACTGTTAAAGGCCCGTTCACACCAAGGATGATAACGATAAAGATATAGTTCTAAAAATCGTTCTCAATATTAAAGAATAGAAGAGTCCACACCATAGCTATACAGATAAAGGCACAGAGAAACTATTTCATTGGAATCACTTTCAGAACGATTTTTTTCCAGCTGATGAACGATAAAAACACTGACACCCAATCAGAATCAATCCTGCTATAATGAGCTCCAGAATTTAAAACGGCAGATGAGTGTGCGCTGAGAATAAACAAACGATATCGCTCGCTGGTGTGGACGCTAATATTGTTATCTTTATAGTTATTGTTCTTGGTGTGAACGGGACTTTAGTCGTTTGGAAACATTTAAAGCAGGCAGGGTTAACCTTACAGTAGTACTCAACACTGATTACTGTCAGACTTTCAAAATCCTTCTTCACTAGAATTAATATTATAATAATTTAATTTCAAAGCACAGCCACCACAAAATTATACTTTAGCGCCTCTTTTTACTTTGAGATTGTTCTGAGGTTAAATACAGATTGAAAAACATAACAAGAAAACTTTGCATAGCTATGACAGGAAACACTGACATCTAATAATGCCTTGAAAAAAAAGTTATGAGAGTCATTGCATAAGTATGTGTCCTATTCTGTCCTACACTTCTGAAACATTGGTGTCTCATATTTTAAAGCAGTCAATGCAATTTGGGAAAGAAATCAATCATATCTGTATGTGTGTGAAAATATTCAGTTGTGACCCCCTTTGCAAGTAACTGTAATTTAACTCAGTAACTATAACAGATTACAGTTACATTTGTTTTGGGTAACACTTTATTTTAAAGTGCCCTTGTTACATGTTACATGTACTTACTATTATAATAACAATTAATTATGCATAATTACATGCAAGTAACCCTAAGCCAAACCCTAATCCTAACCCTAACCATGTAATAAATACATGTCGTTAATTAATATTACTTGGTACTTAAATATATAATTACAATGTAACAAGGACACCTTAAAATGAAATGTAACATTATTTTGTAATTAAATTAGCAGTATTTCCAACCAAAGCCACAGCAGAACTGTTTTGCATTTCTTAAGCAACACACAGTGGTGTTTCGATACTGAATGAGTCCATGTTTTTGAACTAATCGAGTAAGCCAATGATTCATTGACTCATTCATAAAGACAGTCACTTGCTTAGTTTAGAACAAATCAGTTGAATTAATGACTGAATGACTCACTCATTAAGAAATAACCTACTGGTGGTTTTAGTTTCTGATTGGGAGTATCATTTAATTTATTTTAATAATGTCATTTTAATAATCTCATCATATTTCAATATTTAAAACCATTTATTATCATTATTTATGCAATGTTGAATATTGTATTTGGTCACACTTTATTGTAAGGTCCAATTCTCTATGACTTCTACCTCAATAAATCCTTATTTGCTGCTTATTAATAATTAGTAAAGTAGTTGTTAAGTTTAGGTATTGGGTATTAGGTTAAGGATGTAGAATATGATCATGCAGAATATGTGCTTTATAAGTATTAATAAACAGCCAATATGTTAATAAGAGGCACGCTAATAAGCAGCTGGTTAAAAGTGAGAATTGGTCCCTATACTAAAGTGTTACCTTTTATTTTTGTAAAATATTTCTTTCTAAATCTACTTTGTGTAATGTCTATTCAATGCTTTTCTCATCTAACACAATAATGACTTTAAATTATCTTTTTGGGAGGAAATTCTCAATCATATTTGATGTACGATTAATTTTCAATGAATTACATTAATCATTTAATTAATTAGATTAAAATGTTTAATCACTCAACAGCCCTAGAAATAAGGCATTACTACGAGTTGCCCCTGGAACTTCAAATAAAATGTTTCCACTTCAGGGGTTCTAATTATACTGCATAAAGATCTATGTGCAACGCAAACACTAATTTAGCTAGTCGGTATAGGGCTTATGTCTATGATTATTTAGAATCACAGATGTGTGGCATTAAAACTGTACAGAGAACATCCATCATTATGCAGATAACACAGTAAAACTGGTGGCTGAATTACCGTGCAACTTTATAAACCCAAAACATGCGCAAAAATAAACAAAACCATCCATTCAACCAAGCCATGTATTATGCATTAGAGACTGACAAACAAGAGCTGATATATTTAGCATGTGCGATTTGCATCAACAAACAGTGAATGAGGATGAAACTGAGTCTTGGTTTGGATAGCTTTTAATGAGGTTGGTCAAATGACACTGGAGGTTTGGTTTATTTTTACAGGTCAGATTCACAAACCAGCAACACCAAAAGCTACTCTGACGGTTCTGATTATCAAAGGCTTTTGTGAAAGTGCCTTTAGGGCAAGTGGGCGTACTCGGCAGCCATATTTGTAATGCCTCTGGGCAGCTATTTTTAGTCATGCTCTAAAATCTGTAAATGTTTGTCAAAATTACACTTCTATAATATGTTTCAATCAGGAATAAAATATGATACCAGCTGCACCACAAGTTGTGCTTCTTAAGCACTAAAAACAGCATTTTTGAGACTGGTCCAGCAAAAAAAACAGGCATTAATGCTCATATTTGAGTATAAACACGAACACTTTACAGTAAGGTTAAATTCATTAACATTAGCTTGAATCAGCATAATTAGTTTGAATTAAAAGAATTATGAACCATGCACTCACAATGACCAACCATTTTTACAACATTTATTAGATCAGGGATTCCCAAGTTTTTTGTCAGCTGAACCCCTTCAAAATGTTCTTGAAAATATTTTGAAATACTTACAAATACTTGATATTTTAAGTAAACATTTCAGTAATGTAACAACAAATTTGCAAGTTCAGTTCTCTGATGTAGGTTAATGGTCATATGACATGCAGGTAAACAATTTTCATTTATTTATTTATTGATAGAAAGTGTTTTTTTTATTTTTAATTAATTATTTTATTATTTAATTAACTACCACATTTTCATCAAACCCCCTTTTTCGAAACCAAGATTAACACAACATTAATGTTAAATTATGAATGCACTATTGTTTATTATTAATTCACGTTCATTTATTTACTAATGTTAATTTATACAATTCAGAATGTTTAAACTATCTTAGCATATGTAGAAATGAACATTCACCAAGACCAATAAATGTGTTTATTAATTACTAAAATAGCTCATTGTTACGTCATGATATCTAATGCATTAACTAATGGTAAAGTATTGGAGATTATTATGAAGTGCTACTGTTTACTCTTAAATATTAGTATTACCATATATGGACATTTGCTGAACTAGCCTGAAAAATACATTTTTTTTTTTAGAGTTGAGCTTAAAAAAAAGTAATTGGATGTTTTAAAAGTAATTTTAACATTTTAATTTCTCTGTTATAGAGTCTTTGTCTTTGTACAGTGAATAAATGCTGTAAACACTAGTATAAAATCCAAAAACAACTAAATTAAAAAAGAACGGCAGGTACTCAAACTCAAAACCACCTGCTACTAAATGTCGAAAATTGGCATTAAGGCTCTTGCATGAACAGCAGAGCGGCCTCGGCTCTCAGTAATGTACTACATGCTGAGAGACTGCTGCTTCAGGGCTTACGCTTGACAGACATTCTCGAACATTCTGATGGGGACCCCCGCCAAGTTCAAATCTCTGTTTTTGGCATTAAGTTGCCATGGTCCAGATTCTCAAATAACGCTCTAAGAGATAAATGGATCTCAAATGTCTGAGCGTACTGGTGTCGGAGCAACTCTTTCTCTATGAGATGGTGTAGTGAAAACAAACAACAGAACAAACAATATATTGAGTTCTAAAGACACTTTTGTAATATCTATTTAGTGCTTTCATCTGCCACAGTAAAGCCTTTATCTACATTATATTTTTGTTGATTGATATTCATTATTAGATAGATTAATAAAAGGACGGATGGACAAGTAGATGAAGTAGTGGAAGGACAAATGGAAGTATAATGGATGAAAAGATTGACAGATAGATGATGTATATATAAATGAATAGATTAAATTATGGAATGAAAGACGGATGGATGGATGGATGAAAAACAGACAAAGTACTGGAAGGATGGATGGATGGATGGACGAATAGATTAAGTAGTGGAAGGACAAATGAATGGATGGATGGTGATGAAAGATGAATGAATAGATGAATTGATGGACTGAAAGATTTGGATGTATGGATGAATGGATGAATAGATAGATAGTGGAAAGACAAATGAATGTATAATGGATGAAAAGATTGACAGATAGATGATGTATATATATATGAATGAATAGATTAAATTATGTAATGAAAGATTAATGGATGGATGTATGGATGAAAAACAGACAAAGTACTGGAAGGATGGATGGATGGACGAATAGATGAAGTAGTGGAAGGACAAATGGATGGATGGAGGGAGGGAAGTATGTATGACTGGATGGATGGTGATGGATAGATGAATGAATAGATGAACTGATGGAATGAAAGATTTGGATGTATGGATGAATGGATGGATAGATAGTGGAAAGACAAATGGATGAATATATTGACAGATTGATGGATGGATGATGAATAGATGAATTAATGGAATGAAAGCTTGATGTATATATCTTTGGTGGGGAGGGGGCGTGGTCCATGAGAAATAGTCCTGCCACCACAGCTGGAAAAAAATCCTAGGAAACATCAATCCATATAGATAGTCTTCACTGTACATAGGCTGCTGTCCCTTTAAGACCTCATTCATGGATCTAATATACTGTTACACATGGCTCTACCTGTTTTTATAGTATATGGAGGTGCTGCCAAAACTCAGGGAACCAGGGGTTCCGGAGGTTCGTGTCTGGCTGCAGGTTCAGGTAGTAATCATCAAACCACGTGACATAAGCAGACTGCAGCTTGATAGTGATTCCCCCTGCTGCCTCCCTCTGGAAGCCGTCAGTGACATCATAGCGGTCCGCCCAACCATCGCTGCAAAGTGTACATGAGACAAGTGAGTAATGAATGGGTACGCTTACTTTTCTTTTTAGGAGCGCTTGTCCTCCTAATTTAAAACATTTAGGAGCATGATCAATAATAAAAAATTCTGATAAAAAATGATCCTTCCTTATACGAAGTGACATTTGACTCCTTAAAGGTACTGTATGTAAGTTTTTGACTTTACTAAAGCATAAAAATACCAAATGGGTTTTATATAGAACAAACCCCCTTGAGAGACAGTCATGGAGCCTCCCGGTCCAAACTGACCCACATAACAGGCAAAGCCCAGTAGTTATGACCAGGTTACTCTATGAATTAGGTCTTGAGGACACAGCTGGCCAGTATTTCATAGTGACTCATAATAAACCTCTCCATGAGATATATGTGCTCCAAATCTTCGCCTGCGCTCGTTCCTGTTGGTGTCGTCAATCTGGCAACCTGCGTGTGCATCAATTCTGAGGAGGAGGGGTCGGGTGAAAAAAACCCTCTCCAATATTTTGAATTTGGACTGCAATACCTAGTTCAACCACTAGGTCAATCCTTCATACAGCATCTTTAAAGTGACTTACAGGGGTATTTTCTTTTTACCTTTGAAATGGCATCATTTTCATCTGTCAAATTAAAAAATGTATGTTTATAAGCTTTTTACAATTTCTATTTAAAACAATATAATAATAAGTAGAATAAGACAAATAAGTTACCAATCATATGAAATTAGTATTAATTCAAATGTAATTTGTACTACAGAGGGTGCACAGAAGAACACAAAAGTGGCTTGTTGTAGGTACATTTTCAGACGTTTAATGAGGCTCAGAGGTGGCAGGAGTGGCATGAGTGCAATTAAATTCATACATTCATGTGGAGATTAATGTTTTAAATATACAATTTTGAATACAGAAATATTAAATTATTTAAATAACTGAAATTATACGCAAAAATGAAACGAAATCCGCCAGCAGGTGGCGGCAAGTTACTGATTTTATCACTGAATCATTCATTCAACTGATTCGTTCAAACTGCTGATTCATTCAGGAACGAAGCAAGTGACTGTCTTTATGAATGGGTAATCACGAATCACTGACTCAAAAACGCACTTTCATTGAATGAATGAAACTCAGCTGTGTTTGCTTTTAGAGATGCCCAGCGGCTGAGCTGTTACTATATTTGGAACTATTTTCGTTGAAGAAATAGAGCAAAATCAGGCAGTACTTGTTTATTGAACTGTTGTATTAAATCAATATCACATTTGCAAACTCCCTTAATAACTATTAAAAGTTGTCACTCTCCTTATCGTGATCCATGGGCACACAGAAAATGAGAGTGCGCGAGTTGTTAAGACTCAAAAGCACGTGCAAATTATATGTTCCGTCATCTGTCATCGCGTTATAAGCGCGGAACCTGCGGGAATAAGACAAAGTCCCTTTAAGGGTATTCTATAGTCTCTGAAATGAGTAGAATTGTTATTAATAGCCGCAATCCTGCGCCGAAATTCAAGTTCTGCTCTGTGTTCTCTGCTAATAACCAGACTGTGAATGATGCGAGTGGCATCACTATGTTGTCACTGAGAAGCTGCAGAATGATTTTTGGTGTGCCGGCAGAACAACAACAACAATGTGCTACATGTTTCTTTTCCCCTAATTTTTTTCCAATTGACAGAAATCCGTTGTAGACTTGCTGCAATTAATGGAAATCCGTCGTAGCGATGGAGAACTTGAATCCCTGCATATATTAAGAAGGATGTATGAATTGATGAAAGGACAGATAGATGTATGGTTGGATGGATAAAGATAGATAAACAGATGAATAGAGGGATTGATGGACAGACGAATGGATGGATGAATTGATGAAAAGCCAGACATTCAGATAAACTGTCCCAAACTCATGTAAGTTGTGGTGAGTTCATGTGAGAACATCTTCCACTCACTGGTGCAGGTTTTGTTGTATTTGGCGCTCTCTTGAGGAAGTCCCTTCAGCCGGCACTGGAAGCGGTGCTGCCAAAACTCAGGGAACCAGGGGTTCCGGAGGTTCGTGTCCGGCTGCAGGTTCAGGTAGTAATCATCAAACCACGTGACATAAGCAGACTGCAGCTTGATAGTGATTCCCCCCGCTGCCTCCCTCTGGAAGCCGTCAGTGACATCATAGCGGTCCGCCCAACCATCGCTGCAAAGTGTACATGAGACAAGTGAGTAACGAATGGCTTTTATATAGAACAAACCCCCTTGAGAGACAGTCATGGAGCCTCCCGGTCCAAACTGACCCACATAACAGGCAAAGCCCAGTAGTTATGACCAGGTTACTCTATGAATTAGGTCTTGAGGACACAGCTGACCAGTATTTCATAGTGACTCATAATAAACCTCTCCATGAGATATATGTGCTCCAAATCTTCGCTATTAAGCATCAAAGGGATCTTTGAATGACAACAGATGAATCTTACCTTCTCCTTCCTCCTTTTTCATATAAACACAAGAAAAATAAACTACACTTTTCAGCGTCCACTCCATCTATATGTTCTCGAACACTTCCTAAACTCATAGCGCTAAATGTTATACAACTCAGCAGTGTGTGGGAGGTATCATTTTTGTTCTCATGGTAGGTAAGGAGAGGCTTTCATAACTTGTCCTTGGAGGCAAAAGCAATGGGAGGGAAGCATAGAGGAGCATGTTAGTAGCAGCTTGAATCATCTCATGGAAAAGAGCTGAACAGCTCAGTAAACCCACACACTGACCTCAGCAGGTCAGCCTCCCTCTGCCCACTGCCGCTGCAGGAAAACTTAAAAAAAGACAACAAAAATGCCAAAGCAAAGGCACCGCTGCCTTTACAAAGATGTCTGACAGCATTTTAGAGCATACTGCAAAATTAGGGCTGGGTGAATATTTGCTATATGCATTTGATATGTTGATATTTACCAACAAGTAGGACCATTCTCGCTTGTTCTTTGTGCTATGAGAGCACTAAAAGAGAGATATTTTAACAGTACATCTTATTTAAACCTCAGTAGGAAATGTGCAGATTGAATTTGATTAATTTTCAGTCATCTTTTGAACTGTTAGTTTTAATGAATCAGTTCA